TCTCAGTAGGTTTACTGTCTGTGGTAATGTTAGCGATATAATTTTAAATGGTATAATGGTCGCAAGATCGAGAGAGTAAGTAGGTTGATTTTCAAAGACCTTTCAGTATAAGAGCCAAGAAATGCAGATTTAAAAGCGGTCGAGGCACGCCTGTGGTGTTGGATTAGAATTGGTACAAAATGTGAGAAACGCAGCCGTCTGATTTCCCGGCTCTGACCTCTGCAGGGCTGAGCGTGGCGCCCCGGCGGCTCTGGTCTGCGTGTCACGAAGCCCTGCTCGGGTTTTCTGCTCCTGAGGGTTCTCTTGGTTGGATTTTCCCAGCAAAGTGCCTGTTCCTTCCAGAGACCATGCGTTCAGGCTGCTACCTGACGTACGTTTCCCACGAGGCTGCGAGATTGTTCCACCAAGAACAGGGACCCACAGTGAAGCAGCCCTGGCCCTGCCCCGCCCCCCGCCTCCTGCTCACTGGAGACAGGAGCAGTGCCTCCATCCTGGCCTTCACCTGCCTTGCAGAGGACTTCCGGCAGCTCCACGGCTGCTCCGTCAGGAAGAACCCGGCCCCCAGGGAAGTCCACACCTTACACCTGAACCCTGGCTGCCAGCTGTGTTGCCTGAAGAAGCGTGGCCATCTCTCTGCACATCACACTGTTGCTCCCCGTTTCTGGTCCCCACTGTGAAGCGCAACACCGCACGGAGCCTCCTGTTGCAGATTTTTCTTCCTGCTGAATTTTTAGAGATGCTACAGCTCTTTATGTGACAGTGACAGCTCTTTCTCTCCGCGGGCTCCCTTGTCTCACAACCTAGACTTAGGCACAGGGACCAGGCAGGGTGACCAAGGCAAAAGAAGTTCATTAACGCTGGCCGGCGCTGCGGCTCACTCAGCTAATCCTCCGCCTTGTGGCGCCGGCACCCGGGGTTCTAGTCCCGGTCGGGCGCCGGATTCTGTCCCGGCTGCCCCTCTTCCAGGCCAGCTCTCTGCTGTGGCCAGGGAGTGCAGTGGAGGATGGTCCAAGTGCTTGGGCCCTGCACCCCATGGGAGACCAGGAGAAGCACCTGGCTCCTGGCTTCGGATCAGCATGCTGCGCCGGCTGCAGCGGCCATTGGAGGGTGAACCAACGTCAAAAGGAAGACCTTTCTCGCTGTCTCTCTCTCTCACTGTCCACTCTGCCTGTCAAAAAAAAAAAAAAAAAGTTCATTAAAAGACAGAAGAAGCCCCTGGCAGCCCTGGGGGCAGGGGTCCCACAAGGGGGTGCTGAAGAAGAGGCCCTAAGTGTTGTTATACCTTTTTAAGTGGGGAGCTTTCCCTGATTGGTGGCTATATATGCTAATGAGGTGAAAACCTATCAGCCACTCAGTGAGTGGCTGCCAGAATCACCTGTTTTGCATATATATGCTAATGAGGTGAAACAGAAGCCCTCTCAAAGGGTCAGAATCCCAGTAACCTATTTTTCATAGGGAAGTTGACAGAGTGCTGAAACAGCCCATGGTGGTCAGCACTTTCTGTTCCAGCAACCTTGTGTGGTGTCCTTGGGGCCCTCGTCCCGCTCTACCTGCCTGCATTGAGAATCTGTCCTGGGGCCAGTGCCATGGTGTAGCGGGTAAAGCTACCGCCTGCAGTGCCAGCGTCCCATGTGGGCGCCGGTTTGAGTCCCTGCTGCTTCACTTCCAATCCAGCTCCCTGCTATGGCCTGGCAAAGCAGTAGAAGATGACCCAACTCCTTGGGCCCCTGCACCCACATGGGAGACCTGGAAGAAGCACCAGGCTCCTGGCTTTGGATCGGCCCAGCTCCAACTGTTGCGGCCATCTGGGGAGTGAACCAGCGGATGAAAGACCTCTCTCGCTCTTGCTCTCTCTCCTTCTCTCTGCGTGTAACTCTGACTTTCAGCCCTCTGCTGGGCTCTGGCCAGGTGGCCGTGGCCACCTCACTGCCAGATCAGACCCTCCTGTCTGCCTCGTCTTACTTGGCACCTGACAAGCAGCCCGCAGCCGGTGTTTGAAGCCCTTTCTTCTAGAGACTTCTGATCCTGCTCGCTCTGTGTGAGTCCTCCTCTGTCTGTGGTCTCCGGCACTGCAGGGCCGCAGACTTATTCTCAGCGTTCCGTCTTTATTCCCCTGCGTGGTGTCGTTGGTCTTATTTGAAGCGTCCTCTGTATGGAGATGAAAGCCAAACTCAGGTCTTGCGCTCGGGGCTCTGTCCTGCTCCGCAGAAGCGTGTGTCCAGCTGTCACTCAATGCGTCCACCAGGGTGGCCTCCAGATCAGACCGCCAAGGGGTGCATCCTCCCCCCACCATGTGGCTTCAGTGCCTTCCCTTTATCCATGACACAGAGAGGACGGTGGGCCCTGCCTCACTGAGTCGTGAGGACTGAATTGGAAAGAGCATGCAGTGACGGCTCAGCCTTGTGCTGAGTTCCCTGCGCGAGGTCAGGAGAGAAGACCTGCGTGTGCGTCCAGTTCAACAAGCAGTATGTCCCCACAGCCTAGAACGGTGCCTGTATGTGTGTGTGTCCAATCAACGGGCAGTCCCCACAGCCTAGAACGGTGCCTGTATGTGTGTGTGTGTCCAATCAACAGGCAGTCCCCACAGCCTAGAACAGTGCCTGTATGTGTGTGCGTCCAATCAACAGGCAGTCCCAACAGCCTAGAACGGTGCCTGTATGTGTGTGTGTCCAATCAATGGGCAGTCCCCACAGCCTAGAACGGTGCCTGTATGTGTGTGTGTGTCCAATCAACAGGCAGTCCCCACAGCCTAGAACGGTGCCCCCGTGTGTGTGTGTCCAATCAACACGCAGTCCCCACAGCCTAGAACGGTGCCTGTATGCATGTGCGTCCAGTTCAACACGCAGTCCCCACAGCCTAGAACGGTGCCTGTATGCGTGTGCGTCCAATCAACAGGCAGTCCCCACAGCCTAGAACGGTGCCTGTATGTGTGTGCGTCCAATCAACAGGCAGTCCCCACAGCCTAGAACGGTGCCTGTATGTGTGTGCGTCCAATCAACAGGCAGTCCCCACAGCCTAGAACAGTGCCTGTATGTGTGTGCGTCCAATCAACAGGCAGTCCCCACAGCCTAGAACAGTGCCCCTGTGTGTGTGTGCATCCAGTTCAACAAGCAGTCCCCACAGCCTAGAACGGTGCCTGTATGTGTGTGCGTCCAATCAACAGGCAGTCCCCACAGCCTAGAACGGTGCCTGTATGTGTGTGCGTCCAATCAACAGGCAGTCCCCACAGCCTAGAACAGTGCCCCTGTGTGTGTGTTCCAGTTCAACAGGCAGTCCCCACAGCCTAGAACGGTGCCCCCGTGTGTGTGCGTCCTGTACAACACGCAGTCCCCACAGCCTGGAACGGTGCCCCCGTGTGTGTGTGTCCAATCAACACGCAGTCCCCACAGCCTGGAACGGTGCCTGCATCCAGGAGCAGTGGGCCTGCGGTGAAGCAGCGAGCGGGTTCCTCCTTGGAGGACCACGTAAGAACCACGGAAGTCCCCCCCCCCCACTTGCCACCGTGGACCCGACTGGAGCCAGCGTCCGGCTTTCCGAGCTTCCTGCACAGCCGTCTTTGCCATCGCCCTCCTCACGGCGCAGCTGCTAGGAAGGCGCCGGTGGCATTCCTGCCTCTGACACTGCTTCTGCAGCACGCGCTGCTTTTTTCCTTTGAAAATGTAAAATGCTTTTTTTTTTTTTTTTGGTTAGAACCCATCGTGGATGCTTTTCACGTAGACTCAGATTTAGCAGCAAACTAGAAAGCACTTGTACCAGGCAAAGTGTCTATGTGGGATGTGACTTGCATACGGGAAGGAAGACAAGGCAGGGCAATGGATTTTCTTGGCAAGCGTGGGGTTGGGAGAGCAAAGTAGACGTGGGCACAGAATAAGCCTTTGCAAACCTGTGAACCTGCAAGGGCGACGCCCCGCCCCTTCCCGTGCAATGGCTCCTCCCTGCAGCCGCGCCCCGCCTCCATTGCCGGTACACCGCCCCGGCCCCGCCCCCGGCCCCGCCCCGGCCCCGCCCCGGCCCTGCCCCTTGCGACGCCGTCTGTCCAGGCGGGAGCACCCGGGCCCGGGGCCCCGCCCCGCCACGCCCCCAGCTCCTCCCACCCCGCTACCACGGCCCCGCCCCGGCCCCGCCCCAACCCTGCCCACCATGCTAACGCAGCCCCGCCCCAGCCCCGCCCACCATGCTAGCAGGCCTCCGCCCCGGCCCCGCCCCGGCCCCGCCCCGCCCCGCCCCTCGCGGCGCCGTCGGTCGAGGCGGGAGCACGCCGAGCGCGAGCCCCAGGCCCGGGGGCCGTGGCGGCAGGGGCGCCTCGCCGACGCAACATGGCGGCCCTGACGACGGTGGTGGTGGCGGCGGCGGCCACGGCGGTGGCCGGGGCTGTGGCGGGGGCGGGCGCGGCCGGCGGCAGCGGCGTGGGAGCGGCGCCGGCGCCGCAACAGGTAAGGGGCAGGGCCGGGGGCGAGGCGGCCGGGCGTGGCTGAGGCCCGGGGGCGGCCGCGGAGCCGGCCGGGCACCGGCCGTGCCCCTGCGCCCTGGGGCTCGCAGCGCCGGGGAAGGGCGCGGCTGGGGACGGAGCCTGCGGCGGGCGGCGTTGTGTCCCCGCAGGGCGCGGACCGGCACAGGCGTCGTGCGCGTTCGCGTCCCCTTGTGTCCCCGTCTTGCGCGCCCGCGGGAGTGCGGGGGCCGGGGTCTCCCCTTCCCCTCCGCAGGCCCGGCGCAGGGGTGGTCCTGGGCGAGCCCGCTCTGGCCCCGGGGTCTCGGGGAGGTCCGCGCCTCCGCGGGGAGGGGTCCCGGGTGGAGACGCGCGCGCGTGGGGGTGGTCGGCCGGGCGAGCCGCCCCGGGCCCGGCGCCGGGGTGGGAGAGCCCCTCGCAGGTGTGCGGGCCGTGCCGTGAGGACGGGAGGGGTCGTGTCAGCCGGCCGTGTACCCCTCAGCGCAGCCTGCCGCCCGCCCCCAGCCCCACGCCTGTCGTGGGACCCAGACCCAGTGTTCTGACCCTGGTTCTGCCGCCCGCGGAGGTGGTCCCGAGGGGTTCCGATTCCCCAGGCTCGCGTCGGGGGTGCGCTGGGCCCCCTCCCCAGGGCCGTGTCTCCGCGTGCAGTGGCCGTGGGCCCGCGGCCTCGACGTGCCCAGGTCGTCCTGTAACATTAACCTTGTATTAGTTTGTAATAATCGTTCCTGTTTCTTCACAAATGGTGTAAACCCTCTAATGTCCTCAGGGTTTGGAGCTGGGGTTTGTCGTTAGGGGCGGCAGTAGTGCGTCCCAGCTGTGTTATTTACTTCACTCTCCCGCGGTTCACCCCTAGTGCCCGCCGCGTCCGGAGCTGGGCCCTCCGTCCCCTCTCCCGTGCGTGGGGGACCCCAGTTCTGATCGCTGCGGAGGCTGGAAGCTGGCATGAGGCAGAGCTGGGAGTTGAACCCGGGCCCTCTGAGGCTGGGTGCAGGGTTTGGGCTAAACGCTCCGCTCCCTCTGTGTGTTGTGTTCGTGACCCCTCCCGGCTCTGTCCCTCAGACTGAGGACGGCGGATCTCCGCCCGCTTCTCAGCCCGTCCCCTCGTCCCCTCTGTTCCCGGCTGCTCCCATCTCCGCCCGCTTCTCAGCCCCTTCCCTCTGTTCCCGGCTGCTCCCATCTCCGCCCGCTTCTCAGCCCCTTCCCTCTGTTCCCGGCGGCCGTTCTGATCGGGCAGTTGCCGAGTTAGGAGCTAAGGAATCGTCTCCGCAGTATCGCACAGTGCGGCGCTGGTCTTGTAACAGGTGGGTGGCGCTTTCTGCTGCGGTGGCTTGCGTTTATTGCTGTTGGCTCCTGGAGTACCCCTTTAGTAGTCTCTGCATTCCTTCTGACATTTATTTATTTATTTATTTATTTATTTTTATTTGACAGAGTTAGAGAGTGAGAGAGACAGAGAGAAAGGTCTTCCTTCTGTTGGTTCACCCCCCAAATGGCCACTACGGCTGGCGTACTTCCTCCTGGTCTCCCATGCAGGTGTAGGGCCCAAGCACTTGGGCCATCCTCCACTGCCTTTCCGGGCCACAGCAGAGAGTTGGACTGGAAGAGGAGCAGCCAGGACTAGAACCCGGTGCCCATATGGGATGCCGGCACCGCAGGTGGAGGATTAACCAAGTGAACCACAGCGCTGGCCCCCTGACTTTTATTTTTTAAATATATTTTTTAAGATTTATTTATTTATTTGAAAGAGTTACTCAGAGAGAGAAGGAGAGGCAGAGGCAGAAGCAGAGAGAGAGAGAAGTCTTCCATCTACTAGTTCACTCCCTAACTGGCCGCAGAGAGAGAGAGAGAGAGAGAGAGAGAGAGAGGGAGGTCTTCCATCCACTAGTTCACTCCCTAACTGGCCGCAACAGCCGGAGCTGGGCTGGTCTGAAGCCAGGAGCCAGGAGCTTCCTCTGGGTCTCCCACGCAGGTGCAGGGGCCCGAGCACTTGGGCCATCTTCTACTGCTTTCCCAGGCCATAGCAGAGAGCTGGATTGGAAGTGGAGCAGCTGGGTCTCGAACTGGTGCCCATATGGGATGCCGGCTCTGCAGGCGGCGGCTTTACCCGCCTGCCCCTCCTTCTGACTTTTAAACACTTTTTCTTTTGTTATTATGTTTATTTACAAGGCAGACCTAGAGCCCCCATCTGCAGGTTTGTTTCTTAAATGTGTGTAACAGCCAGAACAGGCCCTGGCCAAGGCCAGGAGCCCGGAGATCAGCGGAGGTCTCCCACGTGGGCGGCGGGCGCACCAGTACTTGAGCCATCACCACTGCATCCCTGGGTGTGCGTTAGCTCAAGCCCAGGCCCTCTGATACGGGGTGTGGGAGTCCCCGGGGCATCTTAAACAGGGCACCCGATGCTCCTGCTTCTGCGTCTGACTTTGAATGGCGACTCGAGTGTGTGTCCTTGAGAAGGTTGCGCGTGTGCATCGGGCTGTGTGTACTCAGGGGTGATGGGCTACGGCTCCTAATCCCCAGCACCGTGAACACATAGCCTTACAGGGTAAATGGGACTTGCAGGTGTCGTTACATTAAGGCTCTTTTCCTCGGTTGTCAGAGTAGACCCAGTGTAGTCGCAGAGCGCGGGATGGGTGTAGGACATTTTTTGACAAAAACAGGACAGTGGATGAAGTGGGGTAGGGCACATGAGCTGTCGCTCCCCCTCTTCATGGAGGAACGACACTAAGCCCTGCCTAGGCTTCATATCCGAGTCACGGCACCATTATGTCGCTCCCCGTCTTCGTGGAGGAACGACACAGGACCCTGCGCTGTTCTTTTGTCTGCTCGGCCCTCCCCGGGTTTGCTGCTGGTTCTTCCCGGGTTGGCTACCGACCCTTCCACCTCCGTGGAAGGGCGGTTCCCCCTGCCACTTTCCCCACTTCCACGGGGGAGCGGCACACCGCCGGCCGGCTCTCTCGGGGGCTGCACAGGTGTTCCTTCAGATAGATGTTCCCCTTAGATGTTCCTGGTGCATGTTGTCTCTCTCCTCCTTTATAGTCCTCCTCCGCCAATCCCAACTCTGCTACCCACACGCCGAGTACGCTGCTCTCCAATCAGGAGCAAGTCCTACAGTTTATTGGTTGAACTGGAGGCAGCTGTGTAGAAGCTGTTTACTCCTCCCCAGCGCCATATTGTGGGAGAGCAGATGCATAGACTAAGTCTTAATTCCAGTAACTTAGTCTAGTCCGGGTTGCTCCCCACAATGAGCCAAGGCAAAATGTTTGTGCATGTACTGTACAGATACAGGGGTTTGGGGCCGGCTCTGTGGCACAGTGTGTTAAGCCACTGTCTGCTGTGTTAGCATCCCATGTGAGCCCGGGTTTGAGTCCTGGCTTCTCCACTTCTGATCCATTTCCCTGCTGATACACCTGGGAAAGCAGTAGAAGGTGACCCAAGTGCTTGGGTCCCTGCTGTCCATGTGGGAGAGCCGGATGGAGTTTGAGGCTCCTGGCATCAGCCATGGTGATGGCTATCGAGAGTGAACCAGTAGATGGAAGATTCTGTCTGTCTGTCTGTCTATCTATCTCCCCTCTGTTAACTCTGCCTTTCAAATAAGTAAAGCTTTAAAAATAAATACATAAATAATTTTGAAAATACAGTTAGATCGTAAATAACCGAATAACAAAATATTTGCCTGTAGGAAAAAATAATCTGTATAACAAAATAATACAGCATTAAGGAGCTGGTGCTGTGGCGTAGTGGGTAAAACCACCACCTGAGTGCTGGCATCCCATATGGGTGCCAGTTCGAGTCCCGGCTGCTGTACTTCTGATCCAGCTCTCTGCTGTGGCCTGGGAAAGCAGTAGAAGATGGCCCAAGTCCTTGGGCTCCTGCGCCCGCGTGGGAGACTTGGAGGAAGCTCCTGGCTCCTGGCTTCAGATCAGTGCAGCTCCGGCCATTGCGGCCAATTGGGGAGTGAACCAGCGGATGGAAGACCTCTCTCTCTCTCTCTGCCTCTCCTTCTCTCTCTGTATAATTCTGAGTTTCAAATAAAATCTTTTTTTAAAAAAAACCATTAAGTCATACAACAGATTCTGAGATGAATTTTTCTTGTAAAGTAACTAGAGCCTGTGTTAACATTCCTGCTGTAAGAATTCAGGTGGTTGTGAAATCCTTGTCTTGGAGCTCAAAAAAGGCCGCTTTACTAGGCATTGTCAGGCTGAACTGTTTAATTATAATAAATAAGGTTGTTCTTAAGTAGAAGCATTTCTGTATTCAATCATGACATTTCCTTAGGTATATTTTTTAGTTTTAGTTTTAATTGACAATTTTATATATGTATGCCTGTGTGTGTTTATAAATACATATGTGTATTATGTGATGTTACGTGTGTGTATGCACTGTGGGATGATCAGAATAACTAACCTATCCATCACTTCAAATATTTATCAGCTTCATGATAAGAACAGTTAAATCCTAGTCTCCTTACTGTAGCGTGGAGGAACCCACTGCCATGTAGGTTTGTACCTATTGACCACCAACTGCAGGCCCTGGGAACCACAGCCGACTTCTTTGTTTCTGTTAGAAGTCTGACTGCAGACTCGGTGTGTGATCCTGTGTCTGTCTCCCTCTGCCCAGCTTACTTCATTTACCACGCCCTGTGTTCACACATGCTGTAGGAGACCAAGCAGGATTCCCGCGAGTGTGCAGTCCACATTCCTTTTCTGTACGCATCCCTTGATGAACTCTTAGGTTGGGTCCATTGCCTTGGCGACCTGCTGTAAAGCCCGCTGCAGTGAACACGGGGGTGCAGGCTCTTCCACACACTGACAGCACTGCCTGTGGGTGCACACCTGCTAGTGAGAGTGAGGCATCCAGAAGGTCATGTGATAATTCTGTTTCCGTGTTCAGCATTTTCATACACCTTTTGGCCATTTGTATGCTTTTGAGAAATGACTGTTCAAGCCTTTTGTCTATTTTAGATAGGGTTGTTTGTTTTTTGTTGTTGTTGTTATTGAGTAATTTGAATTACTGTTAAATAGCCCAAACAAAAAATAGACCTCATGAATCCACTCTAAGAATCTGTCTATTATTCTAAGGCAAATAACGATCATTCAGATACCTGTTTATGTATGTATATATACTAGTATGCGAATATACGAGGGTGCCTTGAAACTTTAATGAAAAAGTGAAGTGAAAAGACTAAGTTTGTTCTGGTGCAAAATAATTTTAAATCCATGTTAGTTTTTTCATAATCTGAATTTTCCATCAGCTTTTTTGAAGACTTCATATATAAGGGATTTTCACTTTGAATGAGAAACATTTTTCCTTTCAAATAAAAGTATTTTCTAATTATGAAAGCATTCCTAACTTCTCTTAAATGATTAGTTTTCATAGGATGTACACTGACCAGAAGAATAAAAAGCATTTTACAAATTTTTGGCAACTCTTTGGGGCCAGCTTTGTGGTACGCTCGGTAAAGCTGCCACCTGCAACACTGGTATTGCGTATGGTCACCAGTTCAAGTCCCAGTTGTTCTACTTCCAATCCACCTCCCTGATAATGCGCCTGGGAAGCAGTGGAAGATGGCCCAAATGCTTGGGCCCCTGTCACCCACTTGGGAGACTCAGATGGGGTTACAGGCTGCTGGCTTCAGCCTGGTCCAGCTCTGACCATTGGGGCCATTTAGGGGAGTGACCCAGTGGATGGGAGATCTCTCCCTGTAACTCTTTAAAATAAATAAATTAAAAAAATAAAAAGAAAAACCACCAAGTCTTAATTACACAAAGAGTTGAGTCCTCTGTATTAGCCCTGGTTATGCAAAGTTCCAGTACTCTGTCATTTAGTATTCAGTCTGTAAGAGCCTTTTAAACTTGTATTTGGTTTTCACGGTTACGTATAGGAACGCATCTAATGAAAGGCCATGTGAACAGAAATGAAGCAATTTAAGTCAAAAAAATTATCAAATCGTTTTATGTTTTGTGGTGACCTATGATGTTTTGTGGTGACGTATGATGTTTTGTGGTGACCTATGATGTTTTGTGGTGACGTATGATGTTTTGTGGTGACCTATGATGTTTTGTGGTGACGTATGATGTTTTGTGGTGACGTATGATGTTTTGTGGTGACCTATGATGTTTTGTGGTGACGTATGATGTTTTGTGGTGACGTATGATGTTTTGTGGTGACCTATGATGTTTTGTGGTGACGTACGAAATCGGCATTCACTGTGCTGTTTAGTGTTCTCAGAATGAAATTGTTCCTTGTAACAAGATAGTGTCTAAAAACCAGGTATTATGCACTGTCTGGCGCTGTCATCACAGAGCAGAAGCACTGAAGTCCGTCTCGTCCCCTCTCGGTCTTGATCATTCATCACCTCTTCCAGACATTAGGCTGGGCAGCACTCCAGAAGACATTGGAACACATTTCTAGGCAAAACAAATGTATTAGTAATTACTCCCCTACTTTCAAAGCTCTTCCATTGCTGCTTTCAACAAAGAATTGTGTTGTTCTTGCGATCCCAAAAGTGTTCTCTGAGAAATCCCCACCTGAAGGTATTTTGCTTTTCTATTCCTTCTGTTTCCCCAGAGGCGTAAGAAAGCAAGTGAGAGATCCTTGCCATCTTCCCACCATAATGCGGTTGGATGAGCTGTGCGTGCAGCTTGTTTGAAGTAGCCCTCCGGGGCGCAGCTGCCCCACGCAGAGGTTGCTCTCCAGTTCTGCTAGCTCAGGGACGCCCTGGGTCCACTGGGAGCCCCCCAGGATCCCGGAGTTGAGTGACACACTCAGCTCGCCACGTGCCCTGGCCCAGCCGGGACTTCCACGGTGCCTCTCCGCCGGTGTGGCCATGAGACTGCCGCCGAGTGGCACAGTGCAGGTCGGACCTGCAGGGACTCGTCTGCAGGTAGAGACCCCACGAGAGAGATTCCTTCCATAAAAATACACTTTTTAAACATTAAATGCAGTTAGCCCTAAACATATCACCGGAGAAACTCCCCGTGATTGACATTTTATTTCCAGAAAAATTCCACATTCCTGTCTTAGCGGTCTCATTGTTGGTTGGAAACTGTTTTCTTTGTGCAGAGTCAGGGTGGCTTTGGCTCTTCCGGTGGAATTCGTCCTTTTCAGCTTCAAAACTGGAAGCAGAAAGTCATCCGGACTAAGAAAGCAGAGTTTACGCGCACAGCAGAGAGACTGAGAAATCAGTGAGTATGAAGGCTTACCAGCCATTTTATAGCGGGTAATGTAGATTAACTGAACCCACCCTTCCCGGTCCACATCACGTTGCAAAATGATGGCCACTCGCCGGTCAAACCTAGCAAGAGAAAGGTTGGGGTGTGAAATGGACAGTGATAATGGGCAGTTTAATACAAAATTAATTTTAAGTAGTTACTTCCGTTTTATTTTTACCATTTTCAATCAAGGGAAGCATAACAGGTCTTTAGGTTTTGTGTATCAGGTAACAGATTTGAGGACATTTTCATTCCAGAGCTGTGGATAAGCACTAAGTCTTGAGTAAGTTTGGGCTGTTGAACAACAGATATGAAGGTGCTTTATAGAAGTGAGGGCCGTGTTTGTGTAGACAAGGATGCGAGGAGCAGACGAGACCCTGTCTGTCTGTCTGTCTGTCACATGGTTAGTAGGTGGCTGCGTCGGGGACTCCCGGGCCGGCTCCAGCCACTCTGAGAACCACTGCTTCTCTCTGTGACCAGCACCTTCCAGTAACCCTGTTTGTACAGGGTGTGATCTCACTAGACCAGGCCATCTCAGAGCCGCTCTGCACGAGTGGAGAAGTTTCCGTGGATGTTAAATGTTCCTGGAATGTTCAGTGTTGGCAGTAGCACCGTGATAAGATAAAAATTGTGAGGAATGGTAACCAGAATTAGAAACCAGAGCACCCCGCACCCTACGTCTGAGAGCCTTGTGGAAACACTGCTTTGAACCACAGAGCGTCAGTTTGCAGAGGAGAAAAAGGTCCTGTGGTGAGGAACGGTGTCTGGGCCAGACTTGGTGGCCGTTCTCTGTGGAGGAATCAGCCAGTGAAAACCAGGCTGGTTAGATTTGAAAAGGTTTGCCTTATTGTTCCTTTTGGCAATTGAACTCTCTTTACATTTACAAAATACTTAGCTCTTTTCCTCCAAGCTTTGAGTTATAATTGGCAAATAAAAACTATATGTATTTCAGTATAGAATGTGATGTTTTGACCTGATGTACACTGACACGCTAATCACCATATCCACACCCATCCCTTCACATAGTTGCCGTGTGTGTGTGTGTGTGTGTGTGTGTGGTGGTGGGAGTACTTGAGATCTGTTCTCCTAGTAAATTATTGTCGTTACGCAAGTGAAACGAGCCCGACAGAGGAGGACAGGGCTGCAGGATGCCCACCACCCACCATGCCGTGTCAGCGTGGGCGCTAGAGAAGCGGGGCTTGTGGAGGCAGAGAAAGGGCGACTGCCGAGGGGCCGGGGGTGGCGGGCTGGGGATGAGAGTTAGAGGTGGCAAGGTTTTTTGTATTGTTTTTAAAGATGTGTTTATTTGAAAGGCAGAGGTAGAGGGAGAGAAGGAGAGAACGAGAAAGAGAGAGATCCATCTTCTTTCCACCGTTCACTCCCCAAATGGCTGCAACGGCCAGGATGGGGCCAGAGTGAAGCTAGCAATCTGGAATTCTGTCTGGGTCTCCCATGTGGGTGGCAGGGACCTAAGCCCTTGGGCCAGCGCCTGCTGCCTCCCAGGTGTATCTGCAGGAAGTTGGATTGGAAGTGGAGCAGCTGAGACTCCTGGTGGATGCAGTCTTGCAGGTAGTGGCTTAACCTGTTGTGCCACAGTGGTTGTAGATGAACACAGTCCAGGGATCTAATGTACAGCGTAGTGACTTGCAGTTAATGGTACAGGTTAAGTTTATCTTGTCCAAAATGCTTGGGGCCAGAAGTGTTTTGGATTTCAGATTTTTTTTTTTGGATTTTGGAATATTTGCATATTACATAATGAGATATCTTGGAGATGAGACCCAAGCCTAAACACGGAATTCATTTATGTTTCCTTTATGCCTTTGCCACATAGCCTGATGCTAATTCCATACACTGTGTTTTTAGTGCACCTGCCTTCTGACCATGGCTTGTCACTTGAGGTCAAGTGGGGAATTTTCCACCTGGGGCATCATGTCATTGCTCCAGTAGTTCATATTTTGGAACATTCTGGCTTTTCACGTTAGGCTGCTCAATCTATAATGTACGCTTGAAGTTTGCTGATACTCATATCTTCAATATCCATAACTTGAGAAAATATAAGTTATAAAAAATTTTCCAAAATACTTTAGCCTAGATAGTACTGGACTCTAGGTTATGGGTTTTGGTATGTGGTTTTCTGTCTCCTCTAAGTGGCTCAAGTCCATAGATTTAACCAACCATTAGAAGGTGTAGGGAAAACTCATTGAAAGAATATTAGAAAAACTCATGGAAAAGTATTTCTCTTCAGCAGTTCTCATTGAACACAAAGGAGAAACAGCTTAGAGTAGAGTGCGTTACCTGGTTGAGTGAGTCCCTGAGGGTGCCTGGTGGGAAGCGTCAGCTCCATGCTGACCCCTGCTGCCCAGGGTCTGCCTTCAGCCGCTGGAATCAGTTCCTTGTACATCTTGCACAGATGCTTTATGTACTTACGAGGGAACAGAAATACAAAATGCATATTTTTGCATTTTTAGATAACTTACTGTATACACTTCATCTTGTTTTTGCTTTTTAAAAATTTAGTGTATCTCAGACACGAAGGCCTTGCTGGCTTTGTCGGGGATGATAGTGGCATTGCAGTTATATAAGTCAGATATCCATAATCGCTACAGGCGCACTCAGAAGTATGTTGGGCTAAAATCGTATAATGTAGTGCATTTACTTAAGCAAAGAAAAAAGTAAAATGAGAGATACGATTGTTGGATCAGAGTAGAATGAGACGCATATCATATTGAGGGTCTATAAGGGAAGTCAGCTTACCGTTTTCTGCTTTTCATGTATCTAGTATTTTCATGCAAAGTCTTTGTCATGGAAAACATGTCATTCTGGAGATCTTTCCTTATCAACACATAGAACACGGTACTACTCACCATACTTCAGTATATGAATGTAGCATTAATTATTTAACCTGCCCCGTATTGATAGACGTTTAGATGAAATCTTTTGTTCTCACAAACAGTGCTGCACTTAATTACAGTATCCATCGAGATCCACATTATTTTGCATGTGAGAATGCATCATCAGGATAAATTCCTGAAAGGAGATGCTGGACCAAAGGTAGATAAACTTGCAAATGTGATCAGTACTTCTGAACTGTGCTCCATTGGCAGTTTGCAGTTCTACCAGTAACATACGAGAGGGCGTGCTTCCCCCCAGCGTTATCCACAGAATGTGCAGTCTGTTGGTCTGTGGTCTTACTGTGGTATTGTTTCATTTCCATTTCTCCTGTTAGGAGGGAGACTGAGCGTCTTCACGTGTTGGGCAGCTTGTCTCCATGACTACGTGTTTCATGTCTTTGTAGGTTGATGTTTCTAACCCAGGGACATCAGCACATGCCTGTTACAGCGTGTCCGGTGTCCTGGCGGACACTGCCACTAGATGATAGTAATTTGCCTCACCTCCAGCCAGAGCCCACTTGGATTTCCCAGTCTTGGACACAGGACTTCAGTGGCCACCGTCCAGCCGGTAGTTACTGTGTGGACTGGACTCTGACTTCTCTGTTCTGCTCCTTGCCTCCTCTGTCAGACAGCACAGGCTTCCTGAACAAACAGCTAAGATCCTGTCCCTCGGCCTCTGGAGCACTCATCTGTTTTCCACAATGTGCTTTATAAATGTCAGTTTTCTCTGTGTGGAGCAAAATGAGTAAGATTGGGAAGTCTGCCTTAGGTCATGCCTCTCAGGTTGTGTGAAATTAAATCAGTGGCCAGAGGTACTTCACTGCGCATTCATCAGGCTAACAGGAATACTCATATTAATTTCTGCCTTCTGGGAGAAAGAAAGCAAATGTTGGCGAAATTAATTTCTTTGCCCAACCGGAAAAGTTTCCTTCGCAGTGTTTTTGTTTCTTTGTTTTTTTGCTGAAGGCTCAAGCGAGGAATTAGAATCCCTCATTGGTAGTAGACTGGATCCAAGGAGCAGGGTGAGGTGAAGAAACTGTAGAGTGAGTGAGCGCCACATCCTCTAAATATTCTGAATTTCCTGCCCTCATGGTTGTTAGTGATAAGTCTTGCATTTCCATGTGCTCTGTGTTGTACAGAGACGCTCCCAGGACATCCCAGTGGATATTAGTCACATCCCACTCAGGGGTGAGCCGTGATCACTCACATTTTAGTTAGAAGGGTGTTCACAACAGGAGGGGTTCAATGTCTTGCTAAGGGAATTCATATTTTATGCTTCAAATAGCAGTTCAAATGACAGTCGATTTTAGTTGAACTTAACTGTTTTCTAATATTTTGACTACTGTTTTGACTCCTTAGCCTTATTGATCTGTAATTGTATTGTTACTTTTTGGATGAATTAATCTAAAGTACTGATTATTATGAGTCTCTTCATATTTTAAACAATAAAAAATACTATATTTATACCATTTGTTTCTTTTCCTAAAGAGTTATAATCATAGAAAAAGATAAACACAATCATTTCTACAACCAAAAAAGTGACTTCAGAATTGAGCATAGTATGCTGGAAGAATTGGAAAATAAATTGATTAACAGCAGGAAAACAGAAAGTAAGTTGTGTTCGTGATGAACTGAAAACTGTTCAGTGATTTAAGTTGTAGTTTCGCTTTGCCCTTTCCCTCTGACTGACGGTCATGTTTACTGTCAGGGTATTTCAGTTGGTTCTGGGTTTGTCTTCATTCCCTTGGGTCACTACTCGGTCATTCTAACTGGGTTGCTTTCCATATATACTTGTATTATTTTCTGATTTAATAGTAAAGAGGGGGCTTTTTTGGTTGACAAATCAATAAATTATGTTAAAATTTCTTGAAAGCTAATTGGTTCTTGGACTTTGTGATGTTACCTTCTGACGTCGACTGAGGCCTGGACTCGGAGAAGTAGCAGGTCTTGAACCTGTGCTCAGTAGTCCTGTGGAATGACCAGGTCGCACAATTGCTTCTCCCTTGCCCGTGCTGTTTCAGGACGGGTGCTTGTGCATCCAGTGAGATGAGGCATGAGACACTGCCCCGGGGAGCGCTGCATATGCATCCTGTCAGCAGTGCACTAGGTACTAGCCTTTACAGTTAGATTCTGTGTGGTGCACAATCCTTTTTTTTTTTTTTTAAGATTTATTTATTTGAAAGGTAGACTTACAGAGAGGCAGAAGCAGAGAGAGACAGACAGACAGGGGGGTCTTCCATCCGCTGGTTCACTCCCCAGATGGCCGCAAGGGCTGGAGCTGAGCTGATATGGAGCCAGGAGCTCTTCCCATGTGGGTGCAGGAACCCAAGGACTTGAGCCATCATCTGCTGCTTTCCCAGGCCACAGCAGAGAGCTGGATTGGAAATGGAGCAGGTCTTGAACTGGCGCCCATATGGGATGCTGGCGCTGCAGGTGGCGGCTTTGCACTGTAGCTGGTGGCTTTACCCGCTATGCCACAGTGCTGGCCCCAATACTGCAGTCTTAAAAACTACTTAGCTTTGCTTAAAGGAAAAAGATAGCAAGTAAGCTTTATCAAATATTAGGACTTTTTGTATAGGGATTGGATTGCTAATGGTACTCCCTTATTTCAAGTAGAAGAAGGTCCATATAATGTTTTTCTTTCAGAATACAAGATTACCCCATTTTTAGAAGTTACCTTTGTCAGGTAGTGGCAAGCATCGTCCTGTCCACAGGTGGAGTGACAGCGGGACCTGCTTTAAATGCCGGATTTCCACTTCTCTCTTCTCTTTGACACATAGAGAAGTGTGGACCTCGCAGAGTTAATAGTTTTCAGTTTACCTCAGTTCTTTTACAGACAGCTGGAGGCAGATCTTCCTGTGTCTTGGTCATGCCGTTAGGTAGAGTGTCCTATTTTGTGCCTTTTTGGGTTATTTGATACTTCCTTTTATAAGGCAACTTTATTTTTACCTTTTTATTTCTCTTCAGTTTATAGTTTTAGTTTCTTTAGTAACACTGTCTTATCCAGGAGAGAAAGGAATGTGCTGTCTGAGCATAAAGGTAGGGGAGTTCCCCTCCGTGTGTCACAGCCCGGAAGCAGCAAATACCACGCTCCCTCAGAGTTCCCGTAGGCCTGGCTGCGCTCCCTCAGAGTCCCCGTAGGCCTGGCCGCCCTTCCCTCAGAGTTCCCGGAGGCCTGGCCGCGCTGACGTCCGTGCTGCACTGTACGGAAGGCGACTTGTGCACAAATGAGTAAACAGATGATTTGCCATGTAGTAGTGTTTCTGTAGCTAATCAAACCGTGGCAAAACCAGCCATACTTTCCTGATTACTTAGCTTTACTGGAGAGGTTTGTTGCCCTGTAGTTCCAACAGTGAGCAAAACCCTCTAAAATAAATTGCCCATGCCCGGCGCCGCGGCTCACTAGGCTAATCCTCTGCCTTGCGGCGCTGGCACACCAGGTTCTAGTCCCGGTCGGGGTGCTGGATTCTGTCCCGGTTGCCCTTCTTCCAGGCCAGCTCTCTGCTGTGGCCCGGGAGTGCAGTGGAGGATGGCCCAAGTGCTTGGGTCCTGCACCCCATGGGAGACCAGGAAAGCACCTGGCTCCTGCCATCGGATCAGCGCGGTGCGCTGGCCGCGGCGGCCATTGGAGGGTGAACCAACAGCAAAGGAAGACCTTTCTGTCTCTCTCTCTCACTGTCCACTCTGCCTGTCAAAATAAATAAATAAATAAATATATAAATAAATAAATAAATAAATAAATTGTCCAGAGATTCTGCTTTTATGGAGTTACTCAGTTTTAGTAAAAATACAGAATTATATACTAGGGGGTGGGAAGAGTTCTATTGGCCAGAGCTGGGCCAATCAAAAGCCAGGAGCCTGGAGTTTCTTCTAGGCCTCTCACGTGGGCACAGGTGCCCAAGGGCTTGAACCATCCTCCACTGCTTTCACAGGCCATAGCACAGAGCTGGGTGGGAAATAGAGCAGCCAGGACTTAAACCTGCACCCATATGGGATGCTGGCACTGCAGGTGGCAGCTTTACCCACTATGCCACAGCGCGGGCCCCAAGGATTCATAGAATTAATACTGGTTAAGCAGCTGTAATATTTCCACCAAAACATGGCTGCGCTTAAATGCTGGTCCACGATTTACAACAGTGACAGTAGCTCAGAGTCCACACAGGGAAAGGCATTTCTCTTCTTCGGGGAAGATGTAACCCACTGCTCTTTGACAGACTGGGGGAGACTGGGAGGGGCTTTGTTTAGATCAAGGGTACTTCAGTTGTTCAGTCCGTTTCGTTTATTTAGTTCTTGGCGATCTTTCACTGGCGATTGTGACCAGTCTTCTGTGTAGAATTTTGAGTTGTAGTGACATTTGTCATTATTTTAAAATACATACTTCTTCCTTTAGGAGCAAAAATCCAGCAGCAGTTGGCCAAAATACATAACAATGTGAAAACGCTTCAGCATCAGTTAAAAGATGTGAAACCTACACCTGATTGTGAGTAAATTAAGTGGAGTGTTGCCCGTGTACTAGTATTTTTATTGCCCGTTAGAAAAACTTGTACTTCTCTAATATGAGATATGTCTGCTTTCTGGTTTGGGGTTAATACTGCTAACCCTTTTGTAGGTGTTAATAAGGATGCATTGGAGAACTGTAACATCTGGTGTTTACGTAGTTTTTTTTCTTTAAAGTACAACAAACCCATAGAAATTTATGAGGTAGGTGGGGTAGATAGTAGTGTCATTTATAGGATGGAAAATCTAAGGTACAAAAAAGTTAAGATTCAGGTAATTCATGGGGAAAGACTGATTTCCTGATTTCTAACCTGGTGCCTTACCCATCACTTCCCTTTTGAATAATTACCTTTCAGAGGCATTCCAAATACGAGAGGACTTCAAAAAGTTTGTGGAAAATAGAAATAAAAGATAACATTTTGGTGTAAAAATTTTAAAATCTAGGCATGATTTTTTCATAAATATACATTTTTTTTCATGAACTTTCTTTTATTTGAAAGGCAGAGGGAGAGAAAGGGAGAGAGGTCTTTTTAGTGTTTTGCTTCCCCAAATGGCCACAAGAGCCAGGACTGGGCTACGCTGAGGCCAGGATCCCGGAACTCCATCCAGATCTCCCATGTTAATGGCAGGGGCCAAGCAATTGGACCATCTTCCACTGCCTTCCCAGGTGCATTAGCAGGGAGCTGGATTGGAAGGTGACAGCTGGGACTCTCAACTGGCACTCTGATATGGGATGCTGGCTTGAGGACCTTTTGTATGCATGGATTCCAAGATTGTTGTGCACCAGAATAAACACCTTAGAATCATGTTTTCCATGAATTTTTGAAACCACCCTCATACATAGGGGAAGGTTTATTGGAGCAAATCCTAGCTTTTGGAAGAAAACAAAATTGTGTTAATACCTGCTGGATTATACCAACCTTAATCCTTGACACATCAAAGCAGTAAAGCAAAGTGCTCAAGCTGTGAGGACTAAGGAATCTGGTATCGGGTCGAACCCTGGGTCTTCCATAAAATTTGAGGATGTCACTTGATTTCTCTGAGCTTTCATTCCTTGGCTCTGAGGTGGAGATGATCATAGGGTTATCTCATAGGGTTGTTGGGGAGGTGAAGTGAAGTAGTGCACATGAAGCATGTGGACAGAGTGAGAATTAAAAATGATAAATATGAGTTACAATGATCAGATCAATAAAAAAGATCAAAATAGAACATGAATTAATATTTTCATAATAGGATCAGGTTCCATAAGAATCATAGATAAAAAATCATAAATAAGTGGACAGGTGTATTTACTTTTTTAAAAAGCTTAAACCCATAGGCCAAGTTGAAAGGTGACCTAGGAAAGTATTAGTAATAGATTTTTTTTTTTTCTGACAGGCAGAGTAGACAGTGAGAGAGAAAGAGACAGAGAGAAAGGTCTTCCTTTTGCCATTGGTTCACCCTCCAATGGCTGCTGCGGCCGGCGCACTGCAGCCGGCACACTGCACTGATCTGAAGGCAGGAGCCAGGTGCTTCTCCTGGTCTCCCATGGGGTGCAGGGCCCAAGCACTTGGGCCATCCTCCACTGCACTCCCTGGCCACAGCAGAGAGCTGGCCTGGAAGAGGGGCAACCAGGACAGAATCTGGCGCCCTGACCGGGACTAGAACCGAGTGTGCCGGCGCCGAAAGGCGGAGGATTAGCCTAGTGAGCCATGGCGCGGCTGTAGTAATAGATTTTTAATTTGAAAAGCTGATACCCAAAAAGAATGCCTGCAAATTAGAGCAACAAAGGGAAATGACCTAATAGAAAAATGGGCAAGGGTTAGAATGTGTACAGTGTAACAAAAGAAATATAAAACACATGCGAAAGACTCAGGCTTGTTAATGATAATGTGTCCATTAAATCAGTGATGGTTGGGGCTGGCATGTGGTGCAGAGCTGTGGGCTAAGCTGCCACTTGGGCTGCCTGTACCCCATCATCAAGAGGGTCTGGGTTGAGTCTGGCTACTCCACTTGTAATTCAGCACTTCTCCTGCACCTGGGAGGCAGATGCCAGCTCAGGTGCCTGAGTCCCTCCCACCCATGTGGACCCCCACCCCCACCCCCCCGCTGCAGTTCCCGGCCCCTTCTCAGGTCCCACCATTGGAGGCATTTGGGTGTGAACCAGCTGATGGAAGATCCCTTGTCTCTTCCTCTCCCTCTCTCTCTGTCACTCTGTCTTTCAAATACATCCACGCATTTTTGAAGAGAAGATCAGTGATGCTTTTTGCCTCTCATTTTGGAAATGGCTGTGGTACCCAGGAAGGGGCCTCTTGGACGGACAGTAAGACAGCATCCAGCAAATGTAGAGGTGGGCGTGCTTTTTGATTTAGCACTGCAAGATTTATCTGTCCTCTACGTATAATTTGAGCCTTCTAAAATACATACGCAAGGATATTCACTGCTGTTAGAATATTTAATGATGGGTTGCATAGGAAAAAAATGTCACGAGAAAATAACTACAACCATAAAAATTAACTTCGGAACATAGTTTCCTTATTCCTTAGGCTAAGAAATGTTTTTAAATTAGAGGACCATTTCACTTTTTTCCTTCATATATATTAACTCTTTGCCATACTCAAATATGATATAAAATAACTCTTCTGTGGATTTTTGTTTTTACAGTTGTTGAAAAGCTGAGAGAAATGATGGAAGAAATTGAAAATGCGATTAACACTTTTAAAGAAGAGCAGAGGTTGATGTATGTCTTAAAATTTCAACTTAAAAATTTTTGACTTAATCTAGGTTGCCATATACAAAGCATTTTGCTGTTACACATTTAATGAATCTTATACAAAAGCAATATAACACCTCTCTTGTTTCAGGGTGTAGATGGCTTTTCATATGTAAAGCTGAAGTTAATTTTTATTCATATTTGGCAACCATAAAACCCAAATGAGAAACTGAGAGATTGTCAATAATGTTAGTGGAGAAAATGATATGAAGAGTCAGAAATAACTTAAGGGCAAATGAAGCGCTAATACGGACTTGTTATGTTCTTATACTTTTAAATTTTAGATATGAAGAGCTTATTAAAGAAGAGAAAACAACGAACAATGAGTTGACAGCCATATCCAGAAAAATTGACACATGGACCTTGGGCAGTCCAGAGACAGAGAAAACTTCCCGAGCATCCTCAGGCAGAGTTCCTGGGGACCGGGCGACAGCAGGCACCCTTCCAGAAGAAGTCGTGGACTTCGAGAAATTCCTGCAGCAGACAGGAGGCCGACAAGGTGGCTGGGATGACTACGATCACCAGAGCTTCGTGAGGGTGAGAAGCAAGCACAAAGGGAGGCCGTCGTTTGTGGGAGAGGCTCTGGAACACCTGCCGGGGAGAACGCAGGAGGAGGTGCAGCAGCACGAGAAGTGGTACCAGAGGTTCCTGGCTCTGGAGGCGAGGAAGAAGGAGGTAAGAGGCGTTAAAGTAGTCGTTGTCCACTGTGCGCGTCTGTGCGAGGCTCCTCCCACGTGTGACGCAAGTGCGGTTACAGTTCCCTCTTCCTACAGAAGATGCGGTGGAGGCTCGGGGGGCTGAGTGACTTCATGCACATCACAGAATCACGGTTGACTCCCGAGAAGTAGCACGTGGGTCGGGATGCAGATGATGGGCAAAAGCCTGCGTCCAGTCCCCAGAACGTGAGACGTCCGGATCCACCCGGACTTGAAACGGGGTGATACCGGCACAGGCTGCATCGTTTTGCATAGAAAGTCGAGAAGCAGTAGAAAAATGCCTTGACTCTTAGAAGTGCCCTTGAGAGTTCTGAACTTTAACCGCATTGTTTATTTCAGTGACTCAAAATTTTGGCTACTCCAGAGGAAAAAAGTAGCTCTTGATTGTAGCAAATACCTAGGTTCCATTTTCACAAATTAAATTGAATTAAATCAGGATTCTCAGCCTGGGCAATATTGATATTTAGGGCTGTTCTGTGCATTGTGGATGGTTAGCTTCCTTGCCCTCTGGCCATTAGATGCTCATAATTTCTTAAATGTGTCAGTAATGTCTCTTAACATGGCCACATGTCCCTGCAAAGCAAAAATCACCCCTGGTTGAGAGGTGAAAACCATGGGTTTAGGCCATCTGAGTCAGAGCCATTTTTAAATAGATTTTTTTTTTTTTTTTGACAGAGTGGACAGTGAGAGAGAGAGACAGAGAGAAAGGTCTTCCTTTGCCATTGGTTCACCCTCCAATGGCTGCCGCGGCCGGCGCGCTGTGGCCGGCACACCGCGCTGATCCGATGGCAGGAGCCAGGAGCCAGGTGCTTTTCCTGGTTTCCCATGGGGTGCAGGGCCCAAGCACTTGGGCCATCCTCCACTGCACTCCCTGGCCACAGCAGAGAGCTGGCCTGGAAGAGGGGCAACCGGGACAGAATCCGGCGCCCCAACCGGGACTAGAACCCAGTGTGCCGGCGCCGCTAGGCAGAGGATTAGCCTAGTGAGCCACGGCGCCGGCCTTTAAATAGATTTTTAATAGATTTTTTTTTTTTTTGACAGGCAGAGTGGACAGTGAGAGAGAGACAGAGAGAAAGGTCTTCCTTTTGCCGTTGGTTCACCCTCCAATGGCCACCGCGGCCGGTGCGCTGCGGCCGGCGCACCGCGCTGATCCGATGGCAGGAGCCAGGAGCCAGGTGCTTTTCCTGGTCTCCCATGGGGTGCAGGGCCCAAGCACTTGGGCCATCCTCCACTGCACTCCCGGGCCACAGCAGAGAGCTGGCCTGGAAGAGGGGCAACCGGGACAGAATCCGGCGCCCCGACCGGGACTAGAACCTGGTGTGCCGGCGCCGCTAGGCGGAGGATTAGCCTAGTGAGCCGCGGCTCCTGCCATAATAGATTTTTTTAATGATGAACTTAAACTTCCTTGTTTTAACAAGAGAAGAATTTCCATCCATGATGACATACCCAGGGAGCACTTGAAGAAACATTTGTTCCATGTTTAGTATAGTTTTAGAAGACATGGCTGGAGTTTTTGTTGTGTTCATTGTCTTCTCCACTGAAAGAGGGAGATTGACTTTTCAGGGCTTTAAAGAAAAAATTTGAAATGTCACTAATTTATGACTCAACACCCATGTAATAAGCGGTTAAGACTTAATAACCAGGGGCTGGTGTTGGGGCGCAGCAGGTAGGCTTCCGCTTGTGACACCAGCACCCCAGGTCTCACCTGTTTCATGTGCCATCCAGCTTCCTCCAAACACGGTGCCAATACATGGGCCTGCCACCCACGAGGGAGACCAGGATGGAGTTCCAGGCTCCTGGCTTCAGCCTGGCCCAGACCTGGCTGTTGCAACCATTTGGGAAGTGAACTGGCAGATGCAAGATCTGTCCTGTCACTCTGGTTTCAAATAAATAATTCAATAAATCTTTAAAAACAAAAACCAAGCCAAAAAATGAATACCAAGCTATTAAGAATTATTTGGGCCTTTCTTTTTTCAGGATCCTGAAATCATAGGGTTCTCAAAGTGGTCCCTACATCAGCAGAATCAGCATCGCCTGGAACTTGTTAGGGTTTAGCAGGCTCTAGCCCCAGGAGGGATCAGGTCTGTGGAGGGGCCAGCAGTGGGTGCTTTGACAAGTCCTTGAGGTTACTGTGCTACAAGCTCAAGTCTGAGAGCCGCTTCCCCAGGGGCAAACACAAGACAGAGTGCTGCTGGTAAGAAGTCACCCAGATTCCAGCCCACTCTTCTGTTCCCAGCCGCTCTGCCGCACGTTTGATGACTGACTGGATGTAGGGGCGAGATGGAAAGGGGTGTGAAAGTGGACATGCAGTTTATTAAAGTAGGACACGTTGGAGGAAGAAGGCCTGAAGGAAGCCATAGGAATTCAACTTTAAATTTGCTGAGCTGAGGATTTTGAACAGGGTTTCCACTAAAAAAAAAATTGTCTGAGAGGCGGAGAGAGCCCGCACGCCAGCTCCCCCGTCCTCTGGTTCACTCCCAGATGTCCACAGAAGCCAGACGGAGCCAGGAGCTGGGAATGCGTAGTCCTGAGCATCCCGGTTTTATTTTCTCTTCTGATCGTTGATCAGACAAAGATAAACTGGAGGATTTGGAAGAAGTGAGATGATAGAGGGCAGGGTACTGCCCATGGAAACAGCAGAGCTCTGTGTGAGGCTCAGTCCTCGCGAGCCTGGGGGTTAAGAGGAAGAGGAAGCCCAGCGATTCTGTTATTCAGAGTTTTTAAAAGTACAGTAATTGTTTTAAAAAGTGGAAGTGGGAGAAAACTGCATTTGTTCAAAACAAAACTTAAAAAATGTTAATTACCTGGCCTCCTACAAATACTGTTCTTTCTGATAAGGTGGAATTGGGGTTGCGTTTTCACATAGTTTTGGTTATTTAAGAACATTTTTCTTTTGCTATCTTTTTTTAAAAATCATTTAGTCTATTCAGAATTGGAAAACTAAAAAGCAGCAAAAAAAGGAGGAAATTTTCAAGTTAAAGGAAAAGGCAGATAACGTGCCTGTGTTTTTTCATGATAAAGAAGACGACAGTCAGAAGCAGAAGGAGGAAAAAAGAAAGAAACAGAAATTGGCAGTTGGAGCTTGGAAAAAGCAGAAAAGCGTAGAACTGTCAATGAAATGTGCTTCCCAGCTAAAAGAAGAGGAAGAGGAAGAGAAAAAGCAGCAGAAAGAGCGCCAACGCCAGCTGAAGCTAAAATTACTGCTGGAAAGTTACACCCGGCAGAAGAAAGAACAGGAAGCATTTTTGAGGCTTGAAAAGGAGAGGAGGGAAAAGGCAGAAAAAGCAGAAAAGAGGAAAACTGCTGCTGATGAAATTTCCAGGTTTCAAGAAAGAGTGAGTAAATACATCTACACGATATGTAAATATATCCACATGATATGCAAATATATCCGCATGCTATGCAAATATGTCTACATGACATGTAAATATATCTACATGCTACACGTGGAGGTATGACTCCCACGCTCACTTCAGCAGAAACCGAGTGCCTCTGCTGTGGAAGCACGGTGCGCCTCGTTAGGCTACCGGAGCGTGGAAGCCATGCCCCTGCTGCCCAGCAGCTGGTGGTCCAGCAGGAAGGACAGATGTGCACAGATGTCCCTGCGATGAGATGGGGAATGTGGGGACTGAAGTGTGACAGGAGAGGAGAGGCAGAGATTTGCAGGGGAGCAGCACACGGAGCCCCTGGGGGGAGTGTCACAGCGGCCTGTGGGGAACCTGTAAACTCTTCATATCTTTGGGGCCTCAAGCAGCAGACAGCAACTGCAGGAGATGAGGCCGGAAAGGCAGCTGCAGGCCGTATGTCCTGGCTTCCCAGCCAGACCCGCTGGCTTTGCCCGTAGATGACTTGCTAGCTCTTCACGGTTCTCTCCCCACCATGACGTAAGCTCCATGAGATGGAGGGTTTTGTGCGTCCCCAGACTCAGGAGGTCAGGTGCATTGTACATACTTGATACTTACTTAAAGGAATCAAGGTTATTGTTGGGTGGTAGGATTACGGGTAATTCTAAATGTATAGAAGAAAAATGCTAACAGTGAAATTCAGTCCAAACAGTTATTAAACAAGATAATGGAGGGAACCTGAAAATGAGATACAACTATGAGGAATTGTTAACATGTATTAAAATCTATAGCGGCAACATTCGTGAGGCAAAAAATAAGAGGGGAAAATACAGATGCAGAAACTAAGTGTGGAGGCTCCACTTCCTTTCTGTTAATCCACATAGTAAAATCTTCCTGAGGCCTCCTTGCCTCCCAGAAAGGAAAGCAGGTCATAGGATAAAAGAATGAGGGAAAAGAAAATCCAAAAAACAAAATATGAAATGAGATCTAAAAGCAGACTTGCCTGTACTGTACTAGTAAATGAAAGTGGAGTCCATTCACTGAGTGAAAGGAGTTTTAGATGGAATCATCAAGTCAAACAAGAGGCACCCAACTAAGGGGAGAGACGGGGGTGACACTACTATTCAGAGAAGGCAGAGCTTGGTCTTGCTTGGAAAGGTTAGTATTGAAGCAGTACTGACAGTTAAGGTACTTTAATTCTACTTGTAAACAACTAAACATTGAAACAAATTTTGGTTAATTTTACTTTGTTAACATTCTCTTTTTGTTGGTTTCATTTAGGATTTACAAAAACTTGAACTGAAAATTCTAGATAGACAGGCAAAGGAAGATGAAAAGGTGGAAAAACAAAGACGCCTGGCACAGTTAAAACAAAAGGTACTCTGTGCTGAGATCATCCCAAGTCTACTCTGTTTCTGTCTGTCTTGCTTTATTTCTGTATCATCTACTTGATGTTTCATACTTATGTACTTGCATATTAGAAAGCTTAACCATTTTTAAAGCAGCTATTGTTTGAATTCCAACACTTTAATCACCTTTTTCTTTCGTTCTGAATTGTTTCTTTTTTGTTTTTCTTTCTTTTTTTTTGGTCAGGCAGAGTTAGACAGTGAGAGAGACAGAGAGAAAGGTCTTCCTTCCGTTGGTTCAGCCCTCAAATGGCTGCTACGGCTGACGCACTGGGCCAATCTGAAGCCAGGAACCAGGTGCTTCCTCCTGGTCTCCCATGCGGGTGCAGGGCCCAAGCACTTGGCCATCCTCCACTGCACTCCCGGGCCACAGCAGAGGGCTGGCCTGGAAGAGGGGCAACCGGGACAGAATCCGGCCCCCCGACCGGGACTAGAACCCGGGGTGCAGGCGCCACAGGCGGAGGATTAGTCTAGTGAGCTGCGGCGCCGGCCTGAATTGTTTCTTTATACTCATCACCCTTTTCATTCTTTTAAGTGAATCTCTGTTTTCAACTGACTGCAGCTAGGAGCATAGCTGAACCTCACTAATGCTTGGAAGATGTGACCTAACGGGTGGAGCCAAGGACTGACTGGTGGTGGTCTGGCTGCAGCACCGTCACCCTTGGATTATGTTCTTTCCTAATAGAAGACAGTAGGATGATAGTGAGAGAAATAGAGTAAAATAATTGAACTAGGCAAAAATAAACAGTACTAGTTTATTAATAGATCAATGCCATCCATGTTCATTTTAGCTGTGGAGCACAACTGGAAGTTTACTGAAGAGGTTGTTCACAGTTTCATTACTGTTGAGTTAACGTCAGGTGTGTGTTTTACAGTTGTTCTGTTACAAGTACCAGCCTGGCTGCCACGAGTTAACTGGCGCTATTTTACTTGTGCGTTCAGGTTGAAAACCGTGTGGGCAGAGATCCCTCTAGGCTTTACAAACCTACCAAAGGCTGGGAAGAACGGACGAAGAAGACGGGCCCAGCTGGCTGTGGGCCTCTGCAGCACATCCCACACAGGTGAAAAAGAACGGAGTCACTGCCACGTTTACACTTTGTGCAATTTTTACACGTATGCTGTACTTTAACGTAAAAAATTGAGGCAAATCAGTATACATTTTTAAAAGTTAACATTAATCAATATGATTTTCTAAAAAATTGCCTATATATTTATGATTGTTCTGTCTTTTTTCCTCAGGGCCGTTCCAACCTGGAGACAAGGATTGTAGAGAGAGGAGACAGGGGAATCAGGAGTCAGTTGATGAGGACGTTGCCATCTTCAGTTACGCCAGCGGAGAGTGACTAACCTGTTCTTGAAATGTCACTGTCCTGGTCAGGTTGTTACTGTGCTGTGAGAGGTGTGAAGTGAGACGTGCTAAGTTCCACACAGTGCTGTCACGAGCATGTCCTGTTTCTGCAAGGGGCTATTTAATGTGTATGTTGGCCTGTTAGTGATAGGGAAGTTACCTACATTCATGTTAACAACATTATTCATTCAATACTCAAAATGTTTAGAAATTAGTGTTCCTTGTCATAGCATAACAAAGTAAATTTGGGCAATTAGACATTTTTAAGTCAAAATTTTATAACTTTTATAACTTGTAGCAAGTTAGCTTGAGTAACAGAAATGTCAAGTGGTTTTGTTTTTCGAGTTAAACAATACTTTGACAAACTAAACAAAATTGTTTTTCAGTTATTAAACTTTGGGGTAATAAATATTTTGTATTTGTTTTCAGCATGCTTTGTTTTATATTGAGACTATTTTAAAAATATGCCTCAGATCTCCTGTGTGCTTTAATTGTATTTCTGATACAATCTTTCTTATTTCACTCAGCGATTCCAAATTTCCCTTCGGCCTTTCTGGACTTACGTATTTATAAAATCTTTGTGTCGACATCTTTCTGACTAATGCAGTTTTCTTTTCTGCTTCTGTTTGCCTCAGAGTAGGAAAATTCTTTGCTCTGAGAAACAGCCTGAAACAGGCGGGCTTTCGTGTGCTCTGATAGCTCTTGGTGTCATCTGAGGTGTCTGAAAGTTGCTCCGCTAATCTTCCCTCAGAAGAGTCAACTTTAAAATGTCCAAACTTCTAGCCGGCACCGCGGCTCACTAGGCTAATCCTCCGCCTGCGACGCTGGCACACCGGGTTCTAGTCCCGGTCGGGGCGCAGGATTCTGTCCCGGTTGCCCCTCTTCCAGGCCAGCTCTCTGCTATGGCCAGGGAGTGCAGTGGAGGATGGCCCAAGTGCTTGGGCCCTGCACCTGCGTGGGAGACCAGGATAAGCACCTGGCTCCTGGCTTCGGATCAGCGTGGTGTGTCAGCCGCAGCGCGCCGGCCGTGGTGGCCATTGGAGGGTGAACCAATGGAAAAAAAAAGGAAGACCTTTCTCTCTGTCTCTCTCTCTCACTGTCCACTCTGCCTGTCAAAAAAAAAAAAAAAAAGTCCAAACTTCTGTACATCAAAGTACAACTTAATAGAACTCAGTTTTCCAAGTTACAAAATCTCAGTCCTTAGCTGTAATTAATTCTTACATTGTACACGAAAAAGTACAGTATTTGTAAAAATACAGGGCAGTTTCTTACAGTATCTTCAGTTGTAATTTGATACATTTGGGTTAAATGACCCATTTACTAATTTACTTTTTTTTTTTTTTTTTTTGACAGGCAGAGTTAGAGACAGAGAGAAAGGTCTTCCTTCCGTTGGTTCACCCCCCAAATGGCCGCTGCGGCTGGCGCACACCGCCGATCCGAAGGCAGGAGCCAGGTGCTTCTTCTGGTCTCCCATGGGGTGCAGGGTCCAAGCACTTGGGCCATCCTCCACTGCACTCCCTGGCCACAGCAGAGAGCTGGACTGGAAGAGGGGCAGCTGGGACAGAATCCGGCACCCCAACCGGGACTAGAAGCCAGAGCACCAGCTCTGCAGGCGGAGGATTAGCCTAGTGAGCCGCGGCGCCGGCCTACAGATTTACTTTTGAGTATCAGTAAAAGCTCATTTCCCAGTTAATACTGGTGATGAGTTCCAAGTTTTGGATAGTTAGTAGAGCAGAATGAGAAAACGGACATAAGTGATCTTTACTCAGGAGTGCCTTTTTATTTGTTCTCCATGACTTGAAGCAATTTATAAATAAGATATAGAAGGGACAAGACAGCTTTAAAGCAAGTGAACAGCTACAAGGTACGGAAGAGCAAGTATTTCCTACCTGTTGCTTTTTTGTATGTTGCCTTTGGTTGCACTCAAATGCATCTTTCAACTTCCTACCTCTAAGGCGAGCATCTGGGTGATAGAATTTAGTCTTGTTTCTTGTCTTTCTTTCAAGATTTGTTTGTTTATTGAAGGGCAGAGCGACAGAGTGAGCAAGAGTGTGACTTCTAGCTAGATGGCCGCAACAGCCGGGGCTGGGCCAGACCAAAGCCAGGAGCCAGGAGCTCCATCCTGGTCTCCCGCGTGCATGGAAGAGGCCGGCTGCTTGGGCCGTCTCCCGCTGCCCTGCTAGGTGTACAGTGGGGAGCTAGAACCCGGCAGTGATGCGGGATGCCACCTGCAACCCAAGCGGTGGCTTCACCGGCCGCCACAATGCTGGCCCTCTTTTTTGTTATGTTTTATTTTTTAATACGATATAGAAGTTTTTTCTGAAGAAACCAATCTTTCTGAATCTAAGTGAGAAATTTATGAGTCCTTTAGATAAAGGATATAAAGTAAATAATTGATAGTCTTTAGTTACGGGTTCATAAAAGTGATAGGAAATAAACATTTCTTATACTGGCTTTAAAAGTGCATTAACAGGACATCTGGGAGGCCCACCTAGGAGTTGAGTGTTTGGGTCAGTGGTTTTGGGGTGCTGCTTTGGCCCACGTCCTGTATGGGAGCTCTTGAGTTCTGGACCTGGCTGCACTTCTGACTCCAGCTTCTTGCAGTCGGCACCCTGGGAGGCAGCAGGTGGTGGCCGCAGAACTTGGGTCCCAGTCTTCCACTTAGGAGATTCAGCCCGCTGTTGTAAGCATCGGGGTTTGAGTCTGTTGTGCGCAGGCCAGAAAATGTGTGTGACCGCAGTGGTCACCAGGACCTTGTCTCTCCCAAGTCCGCACGGCATTGCAGGCCGTGGACACAGTGGAGAGCCGGGTACCATGCACATGAGTGTGTGAGAGCAAAGTCCTTATTGCACTATGCACGCAAGTGTGTGAGAGAGCCAGGTCCTTCACTATGCACACGAGTGTGTGTGAGAGTGAGGTCCTTCCTGTACCATGCACACGAGTGTGTGAGAGAGCCAGGTCCTTACTTCACTTTGCACACGGGTGTGTGAGAGAGCCAGGTTCTTACTTCACTATGCACACGAGTGTGTGAGAGAGCCAGGTCCTTACTTCACTATGCACACGAGTGTGTGAGAGAGCCAGGTTCTTACTTCACTATGCACGGGTGTGTGTGAGAGGTCCTTACTGCACCCTGCACACGAGTGTGTGAGAGCGAGGTCCTTACTGCACCATGTACACGAGTGTGTGAGAGAGCCAGGTTCTTACTTCACTATGCACGGGTGTGTGTGAGAGTGAGGTCCTTACTGCACCATGCACACGAGTGTGTGTGAGAGCGAGGTCCTTACTGCACTATGCACACGGGTGTGTGAGAGAGCCAGGTCCTTACTTCACTATGCACACGAGTGTGTGAGAGAGCGAGGTCCTTACTTCACTATGCACACGAGTGTGTGAGAGAGCCAGGTCCTTCACTATGCACACGAGTGTGTGAGAGAGCGAGGTCCTTACTTCACTATGCACACGAGTGTGTGAGAGCAAGGTCCTTACTGCACTATGCACACGAGTGTGTGAGAGCGAGGTCCTTACTGCACTATGCACACGGGTGTGTGAGAGAGCCAGGTCCTTACTTCACTATGCACACGAGTGTGTGAGACAGCGAGGTCCTTACTTCACTATGCACACGAGTGTGTGAGAGCAAGGTCCTTACTGCACCATGCACACGAGTGTGTGAGAGCGAGGTCCTTACTTCACTATGCACACGAGTGTGAGAGCCAGGTCCTTACTGCACCATGCACACGAATGTGTGAGCGAGGTCCTTACTGCACCATGCACACGAGTGTGAGCGAGGTCCTTACTGTACTATGCACACGAGTGTGTGAGAGCAAAGTCCTTACTGCACTATGCACACGAGTGTGAGAGCCAGGTCCTTACTGCACTATGCACACGAGTGTGAGTGAGGTCCTTACTGCACCTTGCACACGAGTGTGTGAGCGAGGTCCTTACTGCACTATGCACGTGAGTGTGAGAGCGAGGTCTTTACTGCACCATGCACACGAGTGTGTGAGAACGAGGTCCTTACTGCACCCTGCACATCAGTGTGTGAGAGCGAGGTCCTTACTGCACCATGCACACGAGTGTGTGTGAGAGCAAAGTCCTTATTGCACTATGCACACAAGTGTGAGAGCGAGGTCCTTACTGCACTAGCAGCAGAATTGCTCTGTTCCCACGTGCAAGGCCAGCGCGTATCCCCGTGGGATTCAAGGCGCACTGCGCTAGGCAGTCTTGGCGGGCAGCGGCCGCGTGGGCTGGAGCGAAGGCGCGGAGACCCCCACTCGGCGAGGACGGCGCCTGCACTCCGGGTGTCCGCTGGCCTCCAGTCCGACCGGCTGTCCACTTCCCCTGTCCACCGGCCCTCACGTCTCCGGGGTCCGGCTTTCCGCCTTATGCCCGTCGGGGCGCCCGCTGCCTTTGGCCAGGCTCGACAGGCGTCTCCCAGCCCTGGGGTTCGGCGTGCGAGGAGGCTGCGCCTCGTGCTTCCGCAGGCCGGAGCGCCAGGGCCCGGCCACTCTGAGCAGGACCCAGGGGCTCACCGCTCACCGTCGCTGGCGCCGCGCGCAACTGCTTCCGGGTCGCGACAGACGTCACTTCCGGAGCAGCATGGCGGCCACGGAGGACGAGCCGCTGTCGGGGAGCGGAGAAGGCGAGCGGCTGGATTTCCTGCGGGACCCGCACGTCCGGTTCTTCCAGCGCTGCCTGCAGGTGTGTTGCCGGGAACGCTATTGTTTCGCTCCAGACCCAGAAAGGGAACTCAGAGACCGCGCGGCGGAGCTGGGCCGGGGCGTCTT